AGAAGCAGACTCCCCGCTGAGCAGGGAGCCCGATGCGGGACTCGATCCCGGGACTCCAGGATCATGACCTGAGCTGAAGGCAGTTGCTTAACCAACTGAGCCACCCAGGCGCCCAAGGCTGATATTTTTTGAAAACATACACAGGAACTAATCACAGTAATAAAACTCCCAACCTCACAGAGTCTCTTATGTCCAACTTAGGGCATTTCTTTGGAAAGAGTGGGATCCTGAAAATCAGGAAGGGGACCTATGGGCAGGTTTCCGTGAAACAGGGTCCTTGGACCCCTGTATCTGAGACTCCTTTGCACTCCTTCCTGCGAATGACTAAAACTTGGCCTGAAAGGTAATCTCCACTAAATGAAGTTGAAATGCCAGAGCTTTCTTGGTTTACGTCCAGGGTACAGCAGTATGGCAGTCATTCTTCTTTACGGGGGCAATTTCATTCCCCAGGGAAATCTGGCAATGTCTGGAGGCATTTTTGGTTGTCACACTGGAGGTGGATGGGGGCTATTTGCATGGTAGATGCTGGGGATGCTGCTGAACATCCTGTAAAGCACATGACAGCCCTCCACAACAAAGAATATTCAGTCCAAAATGTCAGTAGTGCTGAGATTGAGAAACCCTGCTGTTAAGGAGGGTACCCAAGGGCTTAGGGAGATTGGAATGTTCCAGTGGATTTATCCTGCTCCCTCACCCCCTAAATAGATCTATTTCCTTCACCAAGGCTGTGCGAATTATCCTTATATTTGTGACGGGAGTCCCTGGTGTCCTTAGAGAGTTCTGTGCGCCTGTCTTCTGTAAGCCAGAAATGACAGTGGGAATTGCTAGGCTTTCTGAAGTCAGTGGAGATGATGGGATCCTGAGTGGCAGGGGTCAAGTGGCATCATTTAATTGAGAAAGACAGGAAAAGCATGATTACTCTAATGCGCAGCAAAGACTAAACAGTAATCCGCATAGTCTAAGCCACAAAGATCTTTGGCATTGGCTGATTGATTATGGTGTCCCTAGAGTTGAAAGTGGTGGGCAGCATATAAGCAGAAAAGCTCTAGGTTTGGTGAGTAGAAGTTTCACTTGAATCATCACAGTAGACAGCCATGGCCCCCTGACCAAGTCCCAGATTTGAGTCACTTTACAGACCTAGAGTCCCTTGAATAAAGGAGAGGTCAGACCTCCTTAAGAAAAGACCCTGTTACACAGCCAAAAATATAAATACTGTAAATGCTCCGTCTATCCTTTCCTAAAGGGATCTGTGACCGTTCAGCAAGGTGCCTGTGCACGAGGAAGGGCAAATAATCACATTTGTGAGAGATTATTAAATATTGGTTCTGAATTGATACTGATGCCTTGAGAATTAGGGTGGTCTACCAGTCAAGCTAGGAGTTTATGGAGGTCAGGTTGGGCTTGTGGGTCCCTGAATTATTTCGCCAGTTCTGGAAAGTGTAATTGGAATGGACAAACCCAGCAACTGTCAGAATCCTCACGTTGGTTCCCTGTGGTGTAAGGGCTATTATGGTGAGGAAAGCCCACTGTAAGCCATTCTACTTGCCATAATCTAGACTGCAAGGACCTTGATCATCTCTCCATTCCACAGGACATTGTGTTAGTCCATTGAATCGATCTGATCTATCAAGGGGAAATTAGGTTACTACTGTACTGTACAAAGGTAGGGTAAGGAGGTGTCTGTCTGGAATACATATCTTCTGGGGCATTTTTTAGTACTCCCATATCCTGTGATTAAAGACAATGGAAAACTATACCCAATACAAGCAGGATGGCTAATGACCCAGACCATTTAGGAATAAGGTATGGGTCACCATACCAGTCAAATAACCTTGAATAGCCAAGGTGCTTACTGAAGGCAAAGGGAGTATGAAATGGCTAGAACATGGTTAGAACACCAGCCATGGTGTTCTACTACCAGTTGTAGAAACAACGTCTGATAGCTATGAATATTTCTTCCTTATTTTGATTTGAATACATTTGTGTATACATTAACCATTTTTTTTCCTATTTGCTACTTCCCTTTATCTGCCATCGAATGTAAGAAGTGTTAATAATAATTATCCTTATATTTCAGAATTTAGCTTACAGGATATCAAAGGGGAATGTGACTCTGCTCAAAGACAAATCAACACCACTCAAAGATGGATAAAGGGATTTTGTATCACCTTTTGGGAGAGAATTAGCATGTTTTTGGTTATACATTGGATGGTTGATTTTGCCATTGTTTTAATTTCAAAGTTAAGTGTAATAAAAGAGGTGTTATAAGGATGCCAGGTTGACAAGGGGTAGACAATGGTGAATTTGTATTGTGTCAACTTAGCTAAACTGTAACTACATTTTCCGGAATTCCTTTCCTTTTATTCCCTGAGTTCTTGCAGAAGGGAAATTTGCATAAGATTTAGAAGGCAGAAGTGAAGCAGCAGCCAAATTCATTTTATGCTCGGAAGGCCCTGTTGCAGCATATTTTTGCTTATCTGCTGGTCCCCTTTGTTGGTATGGGGCAGCAGCTAGGATTACAGCTACTGTGGCTTCTGCTGAATTTCCTCCTTCACCTTTTCTGACTCCTTGGCCAGGTCCATGTTTGGCTCCAAGATGAAGGGCATCATTTTTTCCCCTGTCACTCCCATCATCGAATTTAGAGGCTTAGAGATGGTGAGAAATCCACAAGGGTTCCAAACAGTTCATCCTGTGTGTTCCCAGCTCATCCTTGCAGGTTCCAGATTTTTCTTGCTTCTCTCATTTTATATCTCCTTTTGCATTCTAAGTGCTTGCCCTGCCCACTTCGGGCCCCAGCTGCTGATAGATTCGCAAGAGCCTCACAATTACGTAATTCCAAATGCCTATAATAAATCTCTTATTATAGATTACTACTAGTAGCTTTGCTTCTCTCATCAAACACCGATTGATTCACTTACCACACCAAGCTACGCTGAGTTCCACTAATGTGCCATGCTTCTGTGCCTTTGTTTTTTCCTCTGTCTAGAATCCTGATCTCCTTCTCTGACCAGCTAATTCTTCCACATGCTTGGCTCGTATAATTTACATCCTGAGGAAAGCCTCCCCTGGACTCTCAGCACTAGTTAAAGGCCCCTCCTTTGTGTTTGTGCTTCCAGAGCAAACTGCTATCTCTGTCATAGTATCTGTGATTTATACTGGCTTCTTCTGTTCTTGGTCGTTCTCCCTGAGGAGACCAGCCTCTTTGAGGGAAGGGACTGAGTCTTATCTTTGTGTCTCTAGACTGGCACAGGGCCTTGCACAGAGCAAGTGCACAGCAGATGTTTGCTACATGATGAAAATGGCACTCTAATTCTGTGGTGAAGTTTCTCGTATTTTGTTCAACAGCTGCATATCACAGGTCATGGTAATAAGATAATTACCATATAATTCCCTATACGCAAGCCCCACACCCATCATTCCATAATCCTAGACCTCCTCTTAGGCTGACTCTACCCTGCACAGCATGAAGGAGAACCAAGAACATTGTAACTTGTTCTCATTAATGTAGACAAAAAGAAAGTTAGATAATTAAGGTCCTAAAGTGGACTTCTTGTTAGAACTATCTGGTTTAGCTGTTGATATAACTGGAATTAACCAGATAATTTTACAGCTGGTCTTTGGATTTGACTGTATTAAGTATTACTTAATTTACAGACTAATTAGAAAAGGTTTGCCTATTGCTCAGACTGGGAATAAAAGGAGAACAGACACTGAGACTTGTGGGCTCTAAAAATGTATTCTTCCCAGTTAAACTACATTAATAATTATATCTGCTATTCACGTAGGCTGGGAACTTGACTTAGCGTTAAAGGCTGGAATCTAGAACCACTGCTTTAGTTGGGTTACAGAGGGTACAAACTATTCACTGCTCCTTTCACTATACAAGATAACAGAACCCATAACCTAGTTCTCTACCTTTTTAAAATTTTTTTAGGTATAATTGACCTACAACATTATATTAGTTTCAGGTGTACAATAAGGATTCATTACTTGCATGTACTGTAGTGATCACCACAGTAAGTCCGTTAACATTTGTAGCCTGCATAGTTAAAGGATTTTTTTCCTTGTGATGAGAACTTCTAAGATCTACTCTCTTAGCAACTTTCAGATATACCAAACAGTATCATTAACTACAGTCAGAATGCTGTACATTACATCCCCAGGACTTAACTTATTTTATTTTATTATTTTTATTATTTAAGATTTTATTTATTTGAGAGACAGAGCGTGTGCGAGAGCGGGGGGGAGGGGGAAGGGTGAGGGACAGGCAGACTCCCCACTGAGTGCAGAGCTCAATGTGGGGCTTGATCCCATGACCCTGAGATCATGACCTGAGCCGAAACCAAGAGTTGGACGCTCAACGGATTAAACCCCCAGATTCCCCAGGACTTACTTATTTTATAACTGGAAGTTTGTACCTTTTGTCGACTGTTTTTTTTTTCTTTCAGTGCTTAAAATACCAAGAAATTAAAGCCTCTTATGGGGAAGCAACTTCAGCCAAGTCAAGTTCGCTGTCTTTCTTACCATTCTGCCTCTGTTATATCACCTTGACCCAATATTCATTTTCTAAAATAAGTTAAAATATACTCAAAGATAGCTGAACACAAGACAGAAATTAAGCAGGTTACCTAGAGTCACAGCTCCTACAACAAATCCTTGGGCAGCAACTCTCATGTGAATAAGATGAATGGACATTTTCTGATCTTTTCTGTACTTTAACTTGTAAAGACCATAGGACGCCACAGTCATAAAACCTGCTATTCCTGTGAATTAAAAAAGTAGAGGTTATGTAAATAGTAGGCTAGAATCCCCAAGATTTAGAGGGCTGAATAGAAGACTGTCCAAAGGATCAGTACTTGGAAGAGAAGCAGGCCAGATACCAAAGAATACTTTAAGAAGAACTATGCTGGATTTGATCCACCAGATTTAAAAATAGACTCATGGATTCAATATTTGCAGTTTTGACTCTTCCCAAAAAAACCTGAATCATGTAGTGTAGTAATTTCTAATATTCCTGAGGCATGATTTCATATTGTGCATGGTGAAAGGCTTTTATTTAGGGGCAAGTCACTAAGCCGGCGAGCAAACCAACCAAACATTCCAGCATCCATAGCTTTTAAATGTTTGGCTTTACTCCTCTCTACTTGCTATCAAATAAGGAGTAAATATTTTGATCTTCTATAAAAATGAGATATTTAAATTTTAATGAGATGAAAAGGTATGAATATTTGCCTAAGAAGTATGTGACTCCAGAAAGATCTGTGACTCTTCTAAACTCCAGAGGTACACACAAATATTTCTGTATTCCCTACAAATTTCAAGGGGTGAATATACTGCTGTGACAACCAAGATCCTATGTAATTGGCTCTAAGACAGAAAACTGATCAACTGAATAGGAAAGATTCTAGAAAGAGATTTAAAACACCGTGAGAACATAATTCATGACAAATCAAAATAACCAAATAACAGATCAAGGAATAGTTACTTAATAAATACCATCAGTACAATCTTTTGGTAGGGTGAACTAATTTGGATTTGTATCTCACAGCAGACCTACAAAAAAAATTCTGCATGGGTTAGAATTAAATGTAAAAACAAAAAAAAAATCAATAAAAACTAGAAGAAAACAGAATAGCATATTTATAACATCTAAAAGAAGGTAAAGTAGACTTTAGAGAAAATGAGGACAAAATGCCATATTTTGACATAAGAATAGAGAAAACTTTGCATAATAGAAGCATGGGTCTATATTTTGGCTTCTTTCATATCTTTTTTTTTTTTTTTTAAGATTTTATTTATTTATTTGATAGAGAGAGAGACACAGCAAGAGAGGGAACACAAGCAGGAGGAGTGGGAGAGGGAGAAGCAGGCTTCCCACTGAGCAGGGAGCCCGATGCAGGGCTTAATCCCAGGACCCTGGGATCATGACCCGAGCCAAAGGCAGACGCTTAACGACTGAGCCACCCAGGCGCCCCTTCTCTCTTATATCTTGTTGATGTATGTATTTATCCCTCTAGCAACACCACACTGTCTTGATTACTGTAGCCATATAGTACGCCTCTATCAGGTACAGTGATTTCTCCCACTTTATCCTTTTTTTTTTTTCAAAGATCATTTTAGCCATTCTAGGACTTCTGCCTTCACATGTAAATTTTAGAATAAGCGTGTCTTATCTACAAAAAACCTTGCTGGGATTTTGATAAGAATTAACGAAACCTATAGATCAATTTGGAGAGAACTGACATATATTCTTTATATTTATATTCTTCTTTACTATACATATTTAGTCTTGCAATCCATAGACACGATACTACATGTAATCTTTACATTATTTAGGTCCTTTCTGATTTCTTTCATTAACATTTTGTAATTTTCAGCATACAGATTGTATACATGTTTTGTTAAGCATATATCTATGCATTTCATTTTCTTTGGAGTGATTGTGAATGGTGTTATGTTTTTAATTTCAGTTTCCGTATGTTGTTAATATATAGACATGCAATTGATATTTATGTAGGATAGCAAGTTTTGATTAGTTGGCACATGTGTGTCTCTATGGGTGGGTGAGGATATATTCTTTCAGAATCCATTTAATAGATGGAAGTAAGAGAGTAATTGCATTTACATGTATATTTTATAGGCCAACTAGCAAATGAAATAAAAATTAAAATGACAAACAAAACCAGCAAAAAACAAATACTAATAAAACAGTGGTAGGCACGTTGACAAACAAGTACAATGCTGAAAGCTCTGTAAGTTTAGCCAAATCTTAAGAACTCTGGAAATATATAAGTGGTATTAAACTGAACATGCTTCCTGCCCTGGAAATTCATATTCCAAGGAAATAAGCAAAAGAAACATCAGGAAGTTGACACAAAGATGTTTATGGCTACACTACATATGAGGAAAAACTAAACAACAACAAAAACTGAACAACAAACTGAAATGGCCCAAACAGAGGAAAGACTACCATAGCTATGAAAAAAATTGCAAGTATAGGAAATACTAACACACAGAAATGTACATATGAAAATGTTAAGTGAAAGGAGCAAAAACAAATTATCAACAGAGTTTCAATATATGTATATAATGTATGCACAGGCCTTGACAGTGATCATAAGACAAATTTAAACAATATAAATAGATTATAATGATGGAAGTTGTTTAATAAATAAGAATGTTTTGTAAATTTTCTGCACAGGACACTCTATCCTGCAGTAGGAAATACATAGTAGATATTATTAAAATAACAATAGCTAAACTATTCAACAGTATATATTCAAATTTTATCATTTATTTTTCTAGCAAAATCTTGATTCTCTTCCCTTATCAAATCAAGGCTCTGTTCTTAGTCAAATTGGTTTTGTTTCCTTTGGAGATTAAAGTCAGAACCTTTACTGTTTTCCATATAGTGTCTCTGCAGTTTGTATATAATTGAATTTAGCTGGAAACACTTTTATCTTTCTACTTTAATCACCCTAAATGTCTCTGGAAAAATAATTCAATTTATGATAGGTACAGTGATTAATCTCTGTTCACGAAAGTGATCTGTTCAAGTGGCATCAAGTTCTTGAATTGTTTTTCTAGTTAAAAATGCTAAGGAGGATGAATTAATCACTATAACATTATTTGCTTCCATTTTTTATGGATGCTATTATCAAGTTTTAATCAAATTAAATTAAACTTCTAAACAGCATATTACTATAAAGTAAAATTTTTATTCTTTCTGATATGGGAATCATGACACAAAGTTGCTAGATTTGCAGTGACAATGAAAACCTAACGACATACCTATTCGGAAGGTTTTAAGGAATTAATCACTTATGTAAGTGTAACTTACATAATGTCTCATTTAAATAAGTTATTTTAATAGTTTCCAGGCCAAACGAATACCAGGGAAGACTCAATCAAGGCTGCAGTATATAATAATGCTTAGATTAGTTTAAGCATCCAAAAGAAGAAAGAGAAAGCTTAGGTTTTTAAAACATAATATTGGTGCTTAGATTTTGTGGGTTTTTTTTAAAGTCCAGATACATATAGTATTTGTTCTAAATGTAAACATATTAAATCTGTGTTGGGAAAGGAAAAAGAGGCTAAGACTCCAGGTCTAATTATAATAACACTTCTTTAATCTAGAGTTTACTTAACCATCAACTTCAACATCTGGAACACATCAGGAAACCAGCAAAAAGGGCCACTGAACATGCACATCACAAAGTTCATGCCCTCAAGTGTCCAGACAGGTAGGTAGCCTAGGCTTTCACTCAGAGCTTCTTGACTCTGAATTGACTCACAATTCCTTTAAACTTATGTATCTAGCTTCTGGTGCCACAGAATACTGGAGGCAGAAATTTTTGATTGTACTCAACATTAATTGGAAGAGACAGAAAAATCTGTAAACATCAGACACAAGACCTTAAAGGTTGGAGTTAGGGGACAAAGAGACACCGACATCTCAGTCACTAACAGACTTTCAATATAATAAGCTGATGCTGCTGATGATCTTGCATCATCACAGAAATGTTAAAGTGCATTCAATCTAGTCCAGTTAGAGTGGGTAGGAATTAGTAATTTGAGACAGACCTCTAATGAAGGGCAGTTAAATAAATAAGATTCGAAGCTTCCTAATAAGAATAATAGCTAACATTTATTGGGGATTTGCCATATACTGGAAACTGTTCTGGAAGTTTAACTCACCTTAGAGGGGGTTAGCTTCAATTACCTGAAAAAATTCAATGATATAAAACATTTCATTCCTCAAAGATACTGGATAAAGCATTGTGATTGCAGACAGTTCTCCAGTGTCCAGTCAAGGCTCATACTTACCTACGGGGACAAATGGGGAGTCCCTAGATTTCCTGATCAGCCGGGAGAGTTGGCCTTCTTCCTCATCTGCTGACCACTGGTTATCTGAAGACATTTTTCTCTGTGGTTGCTGCAAATCATTAAAAATCCATTTATCCTCTCCCAATATATTGTTGATCATGTGTTCATCTGTCTTCAATTTGCTTGATCTGCCTGTCTGCCCAACTGAAATAAAGTCATGTTTCCTTCACCCTTTTCATTATGGAATCCTTTCGTTTTGTTTGGGGTAAAGGGTAAAAGTAAAGAGAGGTGATGATAATCAGATTCCATGAATACCGAGTAAAGACATCATAATTGGGTTTTTCAGTCTCCTTTCACTGCTAAGCATTTGAGGTCATTGGGAACCTCAGAACTTCTTCCACAAACAGTAAGAGAATACTTTTACAAAATATCATTTTAAAGAATGATGGCAGTGCCAACATAGGCAAAATTACCTCCAAATTTACAGGGATGGGAGAATGATCACTGCAATTCTTCAGAATGTGCAGGGCGTTATAGAGTCATTGAGATATTTACCGAGCACCCACCACGTGACAGGTGCTATGCTAGACAATGGAAATAATCTTCCTTGTCTACACAGGAATGAGGAAACTCGCAAGAGCAACTATAATCACAGTCACCACAGTTTAGCAAGCACCTCAGTCCGTTATCCATGCAACCCACCATTTTCACCTAATACGGTGGCTTCATCCTATGAATCAGCTTTCATCAGAAAATGTAACCTGGTAAGTGGCAGAAGCACCATACCTGTGGCGTACCCCACCACCTGCTGTCTGTCTCCTGGTGTTCCTTCAGCAGGAAGCTGTAGATCAGAAGAGGGTTTGTAAGGCCGGGACACATTTATGTGCAATTTCCTACTAATTGACAATGGGAAAGCCCAGAAACAACCCTCCCCAAACGCCCGGGGGGGCGTGGCCATCTGCTATTGGCCAAGGTTTCCACATCCCCTGCTTGGAAACTCACAAGTAACAGCACCTGGACCACAAACACTAGGTTTTCAAAGACATTAAGGAAACATTAAGGCTTTGAAGAAGATGCTCTTACTTTTACTTTGCCTTCACAGGGAGCTCCCTACTTCCCTTTATGGCTGTGAGTCCCACTACCTGATTCCAGGACCCCAAATCAAGAGGAAAGTGGGCCCACTGTACAACACTGGACTTGGGTGGCAGCAGGCATTTTTAGCTGTCTGAGGCCAAGATTCTTGTCTTTAAAGAATATGCACTTGCTAGAGGGGCACCCACTGCGGCCCGGATCCTGGGTCCAGGTGCCACGGGCTTGTCCGGGGTCACCTGGAGGCGAGGCCCTCACCCCTGCAACCATTGCAGAGCCTCGAGCTGCACGAGCGCCCAGCTGCGAAGGACGTGATGTCACTAGGCCCGCGGCCAATCGGAGGGCCGGGCAGGTGGGCGGGCGCAGGAAGGTGCTGAGTGAGCCGCTGCCCTGCGCCTGTGCGGGGAGCATGTGGGGAGTCATGTGGCTCCCGGGGCGGGTTGGTGGTGGACGCTGCTTTCGCTTCTGTTGTACCCCGCAGCCTTCCGGCGCTTGAGGCCTCGGGGACGTCCTGACTCACCGCCTCTTTCTGACCGCAGCCACAAAGATGAGCGCAGAAGACCAGGTAGCGTTCACGGTTTTTTCCTTATAACGCTAATATTTTAAATAATTTCAAATTTGCAGAGAAATTCCCAGAATACTGCACAGAATTGCATGTCCGGCACCCAGATTCCCTTTTGCTAACATTTAGCCACATTTGCTTTATCATTTTTTCTCAAGAAAAATTTCTCTTTCTTCCTGAGAACCATCTGAGAGCAAGTTGCATACTGAGGCGCCCTAACCCCTAAAACTTCTGTAGGCATAGTACCATGGTCAAAATCGGAATATTAGTATGCTGTAATACTATAATCGAAAGGTTTTATTCGTATTTCACCAGATTAGTTCCCAATGATGACCTTAATGACAATTTTTTTCCTAGTCTAAGATTCGATCAGGAATGCATACTGCGTTTGGTTGTCAAGTCTCTCTCTTCTCCTCTAACTTGGAACATTTCCTTAGTCGTTGTATTAGTCAAGATTCTCTAGACAAACAGAACCAATAGGAGATATATATGCATACATATAAACACACATACATATATACACACACGTATATATGTATGAGCTTGCATATCTCCATATGCGTATATTCATGTATATATACATATAGATGAGGAGATTTATTGTAGGAATTGGCTCATGATTGTGGGGCCTGAGAAGTCTCATGATCTGCCATCTGCAAGCTGGCAATGGTGTAAGTCCCTGTCCAAGTCTGAAGGCCTGAGAACCAGGAGCATTGACGTCTGAGGTCAGAAGATGGATGTCCCAGCTTAGGCAGGGAGCAAATTCACCCTTCCTCTGCCTTTTTGTTCTGTTCAGGCCCTCAGTTGATTTGATGATGCTCAGCTGCATTGGTGAGGGTGATCTTTATTCAGTCTACCAATTCAAGTGCTAATCTCTGCTGGAAACACCCCACAGACACACCCAGAAATAACGTTTTACCAGGCATCCCTTAGCCCAGTCAAGTTGACATATAAAGCTCAACCTCACAATCTTCTTTTGTCTCATGACCCCGATATTTTGCTAATGCAGGCCAGTTATTTTGTAGGATGTTTCTCAATTTAGTTTTTTCGGATACTTTCTCATCGTTAGGTTGAAGTTATAGATTTTTGGCAGAATGCCACAAAAGTGATCCCGTGTCCTTGGTGTGCGATATCAGAGGCACATAAGTTAGTCTGTCTGGTGGTAGTAATTTTGATCCCCTATTATTCCGCTAAGTGTCTTAACAACTGGTTACCCAGAGGGAAAAAAAGCCCTGATTTGTAATATTTGCCAATTTACATGGTGTAAATACTCCCACAGTGGCCAATTTCAGGCTACTGTTATGTCATCACTAAACACAAAATTGGGAAGGGATGTGCCACTCCTGAGTTGGTGTGAGTTGACTCTGGCACACCACAATTTTATCACTTGGATTAAGGTGGTGTCTGCCAATTTCTCTGCTGTCAAGTTACCATTTTTTCCCTTTGTACTAAATAAGTATTTTGTGAGGAGAAACTTTAGTATTATATAAATATACTGTTATTTATCAGACTTTTACCCATTAATTTCAGCATCCATTGATGATCCTTGCCTGAATCAATTAATATTATGTTTGCCAGATGGTCATTTTCTAAATCTATCATTCTTTTTATAGTTTATAGTTTTCAGTTGGCATTCTAATATAAAGAATTGCTTCCCCTTCTTTCCTATTTTGTTTTTTTTAATTTTTAAAAAAGATTTATTTATTAGAGAGAGCACATGCATGTGTGCACATGCTGAGGGGGTGGGGAGCAGAGGGGGAGAGAGAATCCCAAGCAGACTCCCCACTGAGCTCAATCCCACAACCCTGAAATCATGATCTGAGCTGAAATCAAGAGTCGGATGCTGGGGCGCCTGGGTGACTCAGTTGTTAAGCATCTGCCTTTGGCTTAGGTCATGATCCCAGGGTTCTGGGATTGAGCCCCGCATCGAGCTCCCTGCTCAGTGGGAAGCCTGCTTCTCCCTCTCCTGCTCCCCCTGCTTGTGTTCCCTCTCTCGCTGTGTCTCTCTCTGTCAAATAAATAAATAAAAATCTTAAAAAAAAAAAAGAGATGCTTAACTGATCGAGCACCCAGGGGCTCCTCCCTCCCCCACATTTATTTATTTTTCTTCTTTCCTATATAATTATTCATTTATATCATTTTGGACTCATGAATTTCTGTTTCATTCAGTGGCTTATAATCCATTGCTATCATTATTTATTTTGATAGTCAAATTGTCCCAGATTTGGCTAGTGGTAGCCCCTTTAAGCTGGCTTCTATGTCCTATTGACATGACCCCATCTTTCTTCAAACATTCTTCTTTATATTCTGGCATAACAAGATGTTCCAGGCTGAACTTGTACTTTTTCTGCCCCAGCCCTGAAATCAGCCATTTTTTTATGGAGCCCTGATTCATTTTAGTGGAGAATGGTATTTAGAAACCAAGTTCTGGGCATTAGAGGTGTTCATTGTTACTGGAGTGTCATTATTTCTAGGCCCTCTCAGCAGACAGAATTAGGATTTATATCTATGTCTATTTCTATTCCTGTGTATCTATCTATATTAAAATCATGAGTGGGTAGTAACATCTCCAAGTTCAACCCAATTCCACAAGGTTCATTCTAGTCTTCCCCTTTTCATATTTGTGATTCCTTTCTCTCTGAGAGACCTGGCTCCCACTATCTTCAGGATATTTACTTATTTGCTTAATTCTAGAGTACACAAAAGTTCATTTCAGAATTTCTGACCCATACTTCTGTGAAAAACAAGCCCATTAAAGATTTTTTATAGTTCTTTTTTGTCAGAGGGAAAATAGTCAAAATACTATCTTCAAAAATCACTTGGAATGAAAACATATTTCTATACAAAAACTGTGTGCAGATATCCATAGCATCATTATTCTCAATAGCCAATAAATGGAAACAACCCAAATATCCACCATTTGACGGAGAAATAAAATGTGATATAGCCATACAATGGAATATTATTTGGGCATAAAAAGAAATGAAGTACTGATATGTGCTAAATGATAGATGAATCTTGAAAACATGCTAAGTGAAAGAAGACTGTCACAGAAGACCATATAATGTGTGAATCCATTTATATGAAATGTCCAGAATAGGCAAATCTATAGAGAAAGAAAATAGATTAGTGGTTGCCTACAGCTCTGAGACAGTGGGGGGGGGGGGAAGGGAGTGTCAGCTCATGATCACAGAGTCTTTGCAGGGGTTAATGAAAATAATTTTAAATAGATTGTAATGGGGGCACCTGGGTGGCTCAGTCAGCTAAGTGTCTGCCTCTGGCTCAGGTCATGATCCTGGGGTCCTGGGATCGAGTCCCGCATCGGGCTCCCTGCTCGGCAGGGAGCCTGCTTCTCCCTCTCCCTCTGCCTGCCGCTCCCCCTGCTTGTGCTCTCTTTCTCTCTCTCTGTCAAATAAATAAAAGCTTTAAAAATAAAATAAATA